ACTGTGGGCACTTATCCAGGCCCTAAAATATGCCACCAATCTAAATATGCCCTTGAATAAAGAAGAAATCCTCCAGTTGCTATGCAAGCAACTGGTAACTGGTGGCAGTTACCAGATGGGTGACTATTTGTCCACATATTCTGGCTCATAAACTAATGCTTCAGTACCATGAATTGACACACTCAGGACTGTTTTATGCTAACTGCTTGCAAACAAGGAGTGTTTCTGTTCAACCTTTGTAAACTGCCTGTGGGGGAATGTTACAACTATGTCAGTAGCAGATGTATAAGTTGCACTAGGAACAATGTCCATCCAAAACCGAACCAGCCCCTGGAGTCCAGGCTATAGGAACTTCCCTTTGGGAGTGTACTTTACTAAGGGCAAGCCATACCAAGGCTACCAATATCTGTTGGTATTCATTTGTACCTATCAGGCTGGGTGGCAGCATTTCCCACTAGAATAGAAAAGTCCCATGAGTTAGCCAAGCATTACTCAAGATTATCCCTTGGTATGAGCTGTCACTGACTGTAGGATTAGACAATGGGCTTGCTTTTGTCTCTGAAATCAAGCAGACAGGGGCTAAGCGAATGGAACTCCACACTACCTACTATCCTGAGCATTCAGGGAGAGTTGGGTGCATAAATTGAACCCTTAAAAACACTTTGGCCAAGTTATGCCAAGAAACAGGGATGACTTGACTGATCTATTACCCTTAGCACCTCTCTGGGTCTGTGGGTGCTACAGGCCTACTCTCCTTTTGAAATTTTGTTTGAAAGCCCTACTCCTGTCATTTCTAAAAGGAGATTCTTAAAAGATAGGAGAGCTTGGTACCAGCAGATGACCTAATGGTTACGTCGCTGGACTCCCATGTAGTCAACAGTGGTTCAAGTCCCAGACCAGGTGGCTTAAAATCATTCCAAACGCGTGTGCATGTGTGCCCAAGATCCTGAGAGAATGGAAAAGGGATTGCAATGTGGCCATCCTCCTGGGGGTGATTTCTCACTTTCTGTTTCTCTGTCTCTGTCTGTCTTTCTGGCTAGCACATGCACCCTATACCAAAAACCTCTCTCTTTTTTTTTGGAGAGATTTTTGCTATAGGGCACATGCACTCACCAGACAGTTAGGGTATAGCCCAAAGTGGAACCACAAAATAGCTGTTTTTAGATGGAGACCAAGCAGCTTGACTGCTTGCTCAGGAGAGACGGTGATAGGCAGGTAGCTAATAACAAGCGGTCAGCCCTGAGAAAAATAGCAGAAGGACACCTGCCACATCAATCACAACTTACCAGGAGTTACAACCAAACCTTCCATGAAAATGCCTCTTCCCACCCAGCCCCCAGTGCCAGGAAGGTGAGGCAAATGCCATTTTTCTTCCTTAGTACCTGAGGAAGACACATAGGGATGATTGTAAATTTCCCTCTTATCATTCCTCACAAATACAAAAAGATCCAATCAGACATTTTGGTCAACATCCTGATTCCTACTGAGGCAATAAACTAATTGGGGAGTTCACCCTAATTAGGATGCTCCTATCATCATGGCTCACACTGAGCATGCAGTCTTCAAATTCTTCATCTATGAGACAGGAGAAAGCCCGGGAATTCAAAGACCATAGATAGTATGACAGACCTCATTATCATTATTATTCATTATCACCTCTAGTAATAAAAATAACACCTAAACCAGTTCCAAATACAGTTGCTACTTAGCAACCTGTCCTCCCCAAAGTCTTTTGGGTGTACTTCTGTTTTAAAATCTTCCTTCCCTATTAAATTCTCTTTTCTACCTACTTTTATTGTAGTTGTGGTTTTATTTTGTGCCTAGGAACAGGTCTCTAATTTTAGTGATCTGGACCCAAAGAACCAAGGATTTTACACAACGTAGCTCAGCAATCTCCCATCCTATGACAAGACTGCTTGTAGCAGTGGCTCAGGGATTGATATAGAGAGCATGACCTAGACCTAAAACAAAGGCTTTTTTTCCAAGCCCCACCACATTCCAGGAAGAATAATGGTTTTTGTGGCCTGAAGTTTCTTTCTTTTTTTTGGAGAGGTTTTTGCTATAGGGCGCATGCACTCGCCAGACAGACAGACACAGAGAGACAGAAAGCGAGAAATAACCCCCCAGGGGGGATGGCCATGCCGCAATCCCTTCTCCTCCATTCTCCTCTTGGGATCTTGGGCATGCACGCGCACGCGCCCGGCATGAGTTTTTAAGCCACCGGGTCCGGGACACAAACTGTGGTCGACTACATGGGAATCCAGCAACATAGTCCATGCTGGTCCCTGGCATGAAGTTTCTAAACAATTAATCTCCTGACCTGGTATCCACTCCAAAATTAGATGAACTACACCCAAGCAGCAGCAGCAGGGTCCACCTCGCCCCAGGAGAATGCATGCACAAGCTCAACGTAGTTCAAGTCCAGACAAAGCCCTTCCTGACCAAAATAAAAACCCTTCACCTCAGTTCTTTGGCAACACATTTTCCAGGACCTCTCCCTTCTTGAGAGCTGTTTTTCTTTCTCTCTCCAATAAACTTTTCACTTTGCTATACCCTCATAGTGTCCCCATCGCTAATTCTTCTGAGAGCGAGACAAAACCCCTTGAACAAGACCTCCATTTTAAGCTCCTCTTTGTATTGGAAACTTGCTTTTTCCTTTTGCCTAAACAGAGTGATTAACATTCCTACTGTCTTTGCTAAATAACCCACAACTCCCTTGGGACCAGCAGTTAGCATAATGGCTATGTCGCTGGACTCCCACGTAGTCGACCACGGTCCCAGTCTCTCGGACCTGGTGGCTTAAAACTCACGCCAGGGGCGTGTGCGTGCACGTGCGTGCCCAAGATCCCAAGAGGAGAATGGAGGAGAAGGGATTGTGGCATGGCCATCCCCCCTGGGGGGTGATTTCTTGCTTTCTGTCTCTCTCTGTCTGTCTGGCGAGCGCATGCGCCCTATAGCAAAAACTTCTCAAAAAAAATAAATAAATAAAATAAAAATAACCCAAAACTCCCTACTCCAAGTTGTTCCTTAGTGATATAATCAATAGCCAGACCTCTCACCCTAAGCCATGAAGACCATTAAGATTCCATTTTATGTAAGGACTAGAAAGTCCCCAACCTTAAAGATGCCCTAGTACAAATGCTTGCACGAGGTCTCTCCTCCCCTTTGTCACCTCCTCCTTCTCAGTAATTACTGCTACTGCCATGTCAACCCTAAGGCAGTTTTTGCCTTTATGCACCCCTCACCTTTCACTTGGGGCTGAGGGGTTTTTGAGAGACATGAGTCTCCCGCTCACCTCCCGCCCCATGCCACGGCTTAATCAATAAAGCTCCAATAATTTGGCTATGCCTGGCTGTCCTCTTATTCCTCGCTGATTAGACTTAACCACCTGTTAGCTGCTTTTCCCGCACTGGATCTTGGGCCCACGCACACCAAGCGTCCAGAAACGGACAACTTCACATCAGGGAGGTCGGAGTCAGGCGGCCACACGAGTCTCTGAGGCCGAAGGGACCGGCGGACAGACCCCTTTAAGGAGGGTAAGGTCTCTCGCCCTTGCGCGGCGACTTTACTGGGCTCCACCGAGGTCGGAGGCCTGGTTCCGGGGATTTCGGGGTGGGAACTGCATTACCCACAATGCTCTGTCTCCGAGGCCAAGACACCAGCCAATGAGCGCCTAGAACGGAGCCGCTCCTCCGTCAGCCCACACCGGTGGGGCGGGACTTCCGGCGTCGCTCTGGGCCCGTCGTTCAGCCTGCGACTGGGCTCGGCCGCGCTGTCAGTTAGGCTCGCTGAGTCCAGAGCAGGGTCCACCGCACTGCCGGCGGCTGGTCTCTGATCCGTGGGCACGGGCCACGCCCTGACCGGTCCG